GGTGTATTTTTACATTGCACTGCTTTTCATTTGGGGGATTTTAAAGCAGAACGTCATTCATTTAGTTCGGCTGTGCAATTTGACATCGGCTTCGTGAAGCTAGCCTTGATATGGCTGGGTGCCTCTACTGCCCCTCCTGCCAACCTTGGTGTTTACTTGAGTTCCGTAATTATTGTGGTACTTGTTTAGTTCTCGAAGGCGCAGCGTTTGTTGTGTTGCTGCTTGTTCCTGTGAAGGTGCTGGGTATGACGCTGATAGACAAGAAGACTGCCGGGGGCTTCGGCTTCACTCTGTATTTTCTAGCTCTGGAGTCTCCGTCAAATACTTCGCTGCATTATTGGCTATGGCTGCAGCGCTTTTCTTCGATTTGCATTAAAGTGAGGAGGGAAATGAAGTAGTTGTAGCCCCTTCTAAAGGGTTGGCCATGAGCACTACCTGTAGATCACTTCACCTGTTGAGTATCTTAATTTGCACTATTGTTTCCCCCGTTGCTTCTTAGCTAGCTTGTAATATCTGCTTCCAGGCATACCGTGTTGTTTGGGTCTATGTTTTTTCTCTAGACGGAGTTATCCTTTTATTTACTCTGTCATGTTAACTGCGTTTCTGCTACTATTGCAGCTGCTCATATGTATGTAGCAACCACATGCTACCACTGTCTCTGTGCAGCTCTGCTCACTTTTTACTAACGAGTTGAGCAGGTAGCTCTTCGCTGTTGAAGCAGCTGGTCGATCCTGATATGCTGTTCAGCCTGCGCTTTTCCATTTTCGCTGTGTTTTGTTCACCAGGTACACACAGACGGCAACCTAGTGACGCCGTATGAAGACCTCGAGCCGTCCGAGTGTGGGTTTTTGGGCATTTCGTTCTTGTGCGCTGAAAGTAACGAAGAAAGGCTCCTCAAGCGCATGAAATCAAAGAACGTTAAAGTCGACCTTGTTGATGATGAGGTGTATGGACAGAAAGTCTTGCTGCTAAGAGACCCACAAAATGTTCCGATACGCATTGTTTTTACGAATTAACCCGAAGGTGTATTTAGACATAAATATATAATGTACGTGTATGCCTGTATATGGTGTATATAATGCGCATATATATATATATATATATATATATATATATATATATATATATATATATATATATATATATAT